TGGTGTGACACTTGAGCTGCTCAAGTGCGAATTCTTCAGATGTGCTCAAGTTGAGCACATCTGAAGAATTCGCAAAATGGCCAACGTTTGAAGTTGGCAAAAACGCGAATTTTCATCAAGCGAACGGGGTCCGCCTCTCTGCTTTTCTCCTAGGCTTCTCGCCACCAAGTGATCGGTTTTTGCCTTGGGTTCAAAATTGAGTTTATTAATTTCCCAACCAAGTTCTCATCCGATTTTTCATCTGTGATTCTTAAATAATTTTTTTACACTTTATAAAATTTTAAATGAATTCACTTGACTTCTTATTCAAAAGGGAATTAAAAAATTTGGTTCAGAATAGTGGATTCGATTTTTGGTATATTTTTTCGCATTGCGTTTTTTAAAGATTTTGATGACAAAAATTTTAGGAATTTGTGTGATGATGTTGGCCCTTATTACACAGCAAACTTCGTATATTCGGTTTTTGTATGTTCAAATAAGTTTACAAATAAAAATACGCATTATGAAAGAAATTTAAAAAAATCGAATCCAATATGCTGAACCAATTTTTTTAAATTCCACAGATAAGAACTTATTTGAATTTTTAAATGTTAAAAAGTGTTAGCTAATTATTTAAAAGCCACAGATGATAAATTGGATCAGAACTTGGTTGGGAAATTAATAAACTCAATTTTGAACGAAATGTGAAAACTGATGACCTGGTGAAGAGAAGCGCACGAGAAAATCGTAAAGCGGAGAGGTGAACTCCGTATACATATATAGTTTCGCATGGTGAACGTGCACGTTTTTGCAAACTTAAAACCTTCACCATTTCGCGAATTCTGCAGAAGTGCTCAAATTCCACACCAATTGTTGTTTGTGTTTAGTTCCTTGATATTTTAGTGCTTGTTTCAAGAAGATCCCCATCCCCGTGCGAAACATGTCCGAAATATGTGTATTGTAAGGTGCGCGGAATCGCATGCAAAAATTGTCACAAAAAAATGATGTTGCCCTCCTTATATTAATCGGTGTCTTAATCTAGTTCGTGCTGATTCCCAAGTGACGCCTAATTTCCCATGAATCTAGAGAAATTTAATAGCTAGTTAATATTCCCCGCCTATTTGATCTTTGGATTGGGAATTATTGAGACGATGGTCATAAGTGGTTAGGATTAAAAGTAAATGTAAATAATTTAATTTCGCTAATAACTTCAGTCATTTCTACATCGATAGAGTCTGGCTTAAATTTATTTATGGGAGCGGTGCAACGTAGTGAAAACTGAATACTTTCGTTATGAAGGTAAAATAGGTAGTTCGATAGCACTACTCGACATTAACAAATGTCTCCAATCGAAGTTATTTATAAGAGAAGGCATTTCCCGTATCAAGTCAGAGCGCATAATTTAATTTAATTGGCAAACTATGCGTGCTAAAGATTGTACACAAAATAACAAACAAAATATAAAATCAAACATAGTTAAGAATATTAAATACTGTTACAGATCACAAAAAATCCCCACCTAGGGGCCCCGAGTTGGCTTTATCCGCCACTGGCCAGCAAGCCAAGGCCAAGCAAGACCGCACAGATGGCAAATATTGGTCTGATCAGCTGTATTGATACGGGCGTGGCCTCATGAAATGTCACCGGTACTTTGGGATCACCAAGCATGTATTGTACGGCTTTAAAGTATTTTGCATTTCTTCTAGCACCATTTCTCATTCGCCCAAGAAGTACCCCTATAACGGAATACTTATCCCATAATGCTGCAAGTCCAGCCTCCTCGATTCGAACCAATTCCTTTTTTACGTATAAAGCCAACATATTTTTTTCACAATTCCTCAGTTCCACTACTCGAAATGGCGAGTCCCCCTGACGCGTAACAACACGACGATTACCAAAGATTTTAGCATTTTTCGCAAACAAGCCTAACTGACTTGCATCAATCAATATTGCCATTGTTGGATGCGATTTCATTGAGCTTTCTGTCTGAATTTTTGACACCATTCGTGCCACGCGAGGCACTCCAGGATAAAAGTTTGGGTTGTAATTTCTCTAAGAAATCTCTAAACTGTGGACTCAAACCGTTGTCTTTAAGTAGCTCGGGAATACTGAAATCTATTAAGTATGAATGAACGGATTTGCTTTCGCCATTGTATAAAACGTCCATGGCTACGACGGGAATATCCCAGTGGACCAGGTCCATCACCCCACTGGGGGTTTTTGGCGGGAAGGGTACTGCCAAGCAGGAATAGATCGAGCCCTGATATAAGTTCGCCATTAAGAGAAGATTCCCACAAAACCAGAAAATGAGGAGGACTATGACAACTTTTTTGGCCCGGTAAACCTTTCTCGTACTATCGCCAACCTGCCCGAGGAGAATGGATGTTACCACGAAGGCTTTTAACGTTACCGTGGCAACGAATCCGGTCCAGCCGTCTTTAGTGTTTGCAAGCACCGTCAAAAATCCCGCAATCGCAGTTATGCTAAAACCCAAACAAGACCAAGTCCCAACGTCGAGAGGGGATATGAAAGTCGTCACTTCGTTAGATGGTAACTCTGGGTCGGTAACGAATCCCAACTTTACTGGGAGTAAGTTGACTTGAAGCAAAAATTGGGTGTATCTTATTTCCTCGTTGGTAGCGTCACCCATGATGCAACCAAAACTTTTTGGTGACTGACGACGTTGAACGTCATTTTTACTTCAGTTGCAACAGTTGCAACGTTAGATTATATTTTTGCAACATTATTGATACGATACAATAGCCAAGATCATTTGGATTGAGGTATCCACGGTGGTTTAAGTCACAGATCGGGTTTACGGATACTTTGTCTAGAAAAAAGTAGCGGACTTGGTACATATGCATGTCCTCGTTGGCAGCTTGCCAGGCTAGTTGGATCTTTGGGAAGGAGATGGTTGTTCCCTCCAAAATTGAGAACGTGAGAGGATCACAGGTTAAACATGGCAGGAAGAGGGGGGAAGTTGGGGTGATGTTGAACAGAAGTAGGATCGCTGTGCCAACTAGGATATGTACTGGGCTGCTTGTGAAGCATGATAGGTCACTATGGAGGTCAATCCTACCAAAGATAACGTCCTGTCGATATATTCTGGAGGCAAAGTAGTAAAACGAAGCACACTTTAATTCTTCGTCTTGATGATGTTTCATAGTCCAATCTAGTGGAGCGATGAGTGTCTTAATTCGCGCCGATTTTTCGGTTTTTCGGTAACCAAAAGCAAAAGGTGAAGCTAGACTTGGGGGAAAATGGAGTTTGGGGTGTATATAACGAAAGAGAAGGAGACGGATTGGAGTGTACAAGTTTTTTGCGGTTATGAGGTCAAAATAAGGAAAATCAGTTTCCATATCTATCAACTTGTGATGTTTGGAGGCGAAAATAAATGTAATCTCGGTATTGAGAAAGATGTCTGGCCAGGTGTTAGTAGCCTCGGAGGATGGTAAAATTTCAAGGCAGATTGCCACATTAAGGAGTAAAACAAGGCGATGTAATGGTCTGCTAAGCATTTTTGAATTATTATTGGTAGGTTTTAATGGTTTACACACAAAACCACGGATTAGTCCATTGACCTAGGAATGGAATTAACTGGCCAACAAATACTCCTGGATTCAGAAAATCCAGTTACAAAACTGTTTAAATTTCTACCATTTTTATTTATGGATGTTCATTTGTACGTTAAATACAGATAATTGTAGTTAAATGTGAGAAATGTATTAAATCTTTGAAATGAAGCAAAGGTTTGGGGTTCTCTATGGTGAACTGTTCAATATAGGTTTGAAGGAATTTCTTCTTGTGGATAAGTTTCCTTTTTTAGGATATTCAAATTTACAGTGTAAGCATTGATAGGATTTATCGCTTCCTTATATAAAAAAAACTAATAATTTGGTATCAAAAACTCAATTATGTAGGTGCATACATAATGCGAGGAGTTCTGAGAAAAGAACAATGTGCATGTTGATAGGGTAGGATTCATTTGAAGATTTCCCCCAGCCACTATGTATTCGATCAGTTTGATAAACTTTCTCGACACGAAATGAGATACACTCTTAGAAAAGCGGTAATGAATCAAAATATAGAATCACGACTGTTCGGAGTGTATATGTATGTATGACTCTGCCGCGCTTGGTAAAAATTAATATAATTCGGTATGAGTTAATATAAATTAATATATGAATTAATATAATTCGGTATGACTTAATTTAAATTATATATGAATTAATATAATTCGGTACAGTTTTTTTAAAGTGTACTTAAATAGCTTGGTTAATTTCTAATTCTATAGATAGCTGCAATACTAACATCTCATTTATTTGCGACCCAACATATAATCCGCAAAATAATATGAACAGTTTTATTACCAGGTTGTCATGCTATCCAATTCATTTTTCTCTGGTTGTGTTAACGATTTCACAAGTACATTCATATTTAATAGGGCTACAAGAACGATGGTAAGTAATGGCAAATTCACAGAACTGGATTGCCCTTCGATTTGTTCTTCATAACACTTTTATTTTACCCTATTTCATAATTTTATAAGATTCGATAGTAACTCGCCATAAAATCCCTGTGTAGTTGGGAAAAAACAGGAATTTGCGTATGCAGATATCGTAAATTTACGGAAATTATGGTACTTGCGACAGTCACGTAATGTGAAGACCCTCAATGTAAATACTTGACTTGCTTTATACATTCAAGAAGTATACTTTTTTTAAAGATGGAAAATATGATTGTCACGACCTCTGAAGACACAGCATTATCCTTATCAGCCAATATTTTTTGACACATGACGTTCTTCATACAAGGAAGCGATGTTTATCGAATAAACGAAAGATTTGGAAAACGGGTTAGTATGCTAAATACTGTGATTTAGTAAATACACATTTGTAAACTAGGCCAAGAATAAAATATTTGATTGAAATTGAAACTTGAGGTATTTTTTGATAATTTATATTTCTACTTACTTAGGTCCATAACGAGTAAGTATCCATTCCTTGGACGATAATTGATATGTAAATCTGTACGTAATAACTTATGGAGTAGGCTTAATAATAACTTATCAAGATTCATCCATTTATTATATAAAAATATAGAGAAACATGTACTAAATTGCATTTCTTTCATGATTTAATTAATTATTAATGCATATTTTTGCGTAGGGAAAAATGTCCACCAATCGTGGGTACAAGGCAGCTTGAGCTAATTCGTTTGTTTCTTTATACCAGAAAATGTTGATATTAAATTCTCTCAGCGATTTCACAACCGGACATGGCTCCTCATCTTCTGGCGGAATAAATGCGCTAAAAGAAGAGAAGTCGTATGAAGAGAAGAAGTATGTGGAGAAGTCGAAGCTATGAATGTGCAAAGTCTGCAAGACCGGGAAGCACACTGCATAATCAATCTTTCCTGATCCCAGACCACTTTCAAACTCAAATTTCTGAAACATTGTGCAGAAATAAATTGTGAATTTCTTCAAGGCCGGAAGGGCTGGGAATTTCCACTCGACCTTCTTATCGTTGGAGCCCAAATGTAACTCAAGTTTTTCCGGAGTGAGGCAATGTTTCTGTAATAATTTGTGTAGAAGGGAGGGCAGTTCGTGGGCACGATGTCCAGTTTTGTGATAGAAGGCCTTCAGGTCAAGTCTTTTGAGAGGAGAGGGAATTTTCAAGAGACACCCGGTTTGATCGGAGTCCAAATATCCTCGCAAAACTAAGGAACTCAGCGATCTGAAAAATAACAAACAATTAGATCTGTACTCTTAAAAAGCCAGTATTAGTGTTAGCCACGCGGTGGACTTCACGGATCGGTCGTAAGGTTTCTCACCATATGGTGTGATTAAATTAGCACCCATCCATGATAATTCAGAGCTCCACGCCGCCGATTTTTCGCCGGCGCGCCGCCGACGCCGATCCGATTTGACACGCCGCCGCCGCCGAGGCGCGCCGCCGTCGCATAAGTGCCGGCGCGCCGCCGAGAAAAAAGATATCTTGTACAATTAATACCAGTTAAAACGAGAAAAAATGTCGAAATTTGTGTTTTAGCGGTTTCGTTCGTGATTGTCATTGACATTGAGAAAATGAATAGTTTTTTCCCGATACGCATCTTTAATTAAAGATCAGCTCAAATTTTGACGCCACTTAAAGAATCGATAACGTATATTTAAAATATGATATTTTGGGCAATACAAATTGAGTACATAAATAGCCTGACTTTTCGAAATTCCTGTTTTTTGAGAATCTTAAGTTTTGCTTAGTCCTATGGTTTTTTACAACTTACAATTAGAAAGATTCCAAACATTCCATTTTATGAAAAATCAAGCTAACTTTTAAATTTTCGAATTTCCGTCAAGAATCGAGTTACATGGCTATTAAGGCTGATGGGTGTAGTTTAGAAATATTTTTTAAATTCTGTAATGCAGAAAACACGAATTAGCACGAATTAAAAAATGGGTCGGCTTATTTATTCGCTGAACCAATTAAAATTAGCACGCGAAATACATTACCATGTATTAGAAAGCTAAACAAAGAGGTCAGTTATAATCACTGACTGGTAAACGGAGGCAGAAATATCGGCGCGCCGTGGCGCGCCGCCGCCGCCGACGGTTTTTACTACTCACGCCGCCGCCGCCGATTTTTCAACGGCGTGGAGCTCTGTGATAATTTGTCACCATGGTGTTACTCCCCGAGAAATGGTAATGGACCTGATGTCGAAAATCGATTTTTTTGAAATCCTTCAAGTATGTGTTAGAGGACCTTAAAATATGCAGAAAAATCACGGTCACTATGACCTAATTTCAAAAAAAGAGAAAAAGACCCGCAATTGTATTGGCCCATGGTACCAACATGTGAAATTTTGAGTCCCTGCGTGAAATAGCGGCTGCGTAAAGGTGGTATCTCAACAGAAGCCACACCCCCTCCTATCAGCCCTATTGAAACTTCAAAAATTCGGGGAAACTGATTTTTCTGAATATTTTAAGGTCCTCTAACACATACTTGAAGGATTTCAAAAAAATCGATTTTCGACATCAGGTCCATTACCATTTCTCGTGGAGTAACCCCATGTAGAAAAAATTTATCAACATGTGGTGAAGTAGAACATTTAGTGAAGTCACACATGAACCCAGGGTAAGGAAAACCCCGGAGTTTTCCTATTGATACCCAAAGCACAGGGGTTTTACCTGGGTTTTGTGGATAGTCGGGGTTTGAGGGTAAACTGACTCAGTATCTTACGTACAAAGTTGTGAAAATAATTGACCTTATCAGCAAATTTGGCAAGGAGGTGGCTTACCAGTGTTTTTGCTGTTAAATAACACCTGCACGAAATTAGTGCACGAAAATGTTTTTAAACGTTTAATAACACCCACTAAAAATCCGAAAAAGTGCATGAAAATACACGAAAATCATTTACGTGCAAATAACATTAGTCTTTGTGCTACTGTACGATATTTTCCTCATCGTTTTAGTATTTTAGTGTAAAACCATTTTCCATTTTTCAATACATGGGTAAGCCCTGAATCATGCTAGAAAGTGAGGTAAAGTTTCAAACCAGGTAGACAACTAAATCTTACCCACAGTTTATAGGGCAGCAAAATATATTATTTCTTGAAAATATGAAATTTCCTGCATAAATTGCATTTAATTTATTATTATGCATTTTTACACATTTTTGTGCATTTTTATGCACCATGCATGCATAAAAATAATTTTGTGCGCACAAAAACAAACACTGTGGCTTACTAATTTAAATTGAATAACTTATTAAATTAAAAAATTGTTAGTATAGCCCTGTTTTCATACATTCTAAAATTTGAAAACCCCGACAACCCGTGGGTATTGGTCAAATTTGCTACCCCAAAATCCTAAAATGCACGGTAGCATACCCTGCATTCACACCGTTCGGATACGATTAAGTTAATCGGATTAACACTGGATCTTTAAAAGAGTGCCATCACGAAACTCACAATGGAACTTAACAAAATTTATAATTAGCAATTCTAGTACGAAGATAAGTTCTAATCATGAGTATCATAACATTCACGGGAGAAATCCAAGTTTATAAATATTTAGGAAAAATGGGGACGAATTAAATTAACAGAATTTACAACTTACAATGGGAAATGTTGTAGTAGTTCGAGTTTTGAAATTTCATACAAATGTTCACAATTAATTGTGAAACATTGCAAAGCTGGAAACGCTTCCGTAACAGCTTGACCAATTCTTTCGATCACTGGATCAAGTTGCGCCCGAGTCCGGCCACCATTGATCACGAGTTTCTTCAATCTTGGGAAAACGGTGGCACTGAAAGAAGGGAAATTTTGATCGCAATGCAATTGCAATTCTTCCAGAGTGGGGGCCGAACCGAGGATAATTTCGTTACAAAAGTCCTTCTGCCATTGTTCCGTTATCTTAATTTGGACCAAAATTGATTTGAGATTTCTGATGGGGGGAAAGTCTTGCAAATTTTTGGGTGGTGACAAGGATTTATTTGCGGAGATTTTAATATTGGTGTTGAAGCTGAGTTTTTCCGCAATTCTTTCATCCAATTCCCACTCCTTGGGGGGTGTTTTACCATAAGTTCCTGCATCGAGTCGGATGTTGATCAGTGTCCTCTCCTTTAGCACGGGGGTAGCTTCATAATTCCAAGATTTGCAGACTAGGCGACAATCTTTTATGTCTTTGATTACAAGGAATTTGCAGAGATGTGGAATTATCTAGGAAATTTTATGACATTACTTAAGAGTCCATTGTATGCGGGATTTGAGTTTAAATGGTCATGTTGCAGCTTTCCCTTGTTTAATATGTTCAAATGGCGATTTTGAAAGCTATTCATCTCCGAGGGTTTTTTACAATATAAAGATTTTAATGCACATATGTAAAAATCATTAATATTTAGATATATAAAGTTACGACTAGAATTTTGATTTTTTTCTTCCATGAGCAAATAAATATGAAATAGATGAAAAATAATAAGTACAAATTAAATATCGTCTCATGGAAGAAAAAACCAAAATTCTACATTCGTAATTTTGTAATTTTGATTTTTAGGTGCATTAAAATCTTCACATTGTAAAAAACCCACGGAGATGAATATGTTTCAAAATCGCTATTTGAGTATATAGAAGAAGAGAAAGCTGAGACACAACAATTCAAGCTCAAAACCCGCATACAATTGCTTGTTAATAAAATTCAATTTACACAAGGGAACGTCCATGTATTACGTCATCATTTTAGTGGGTAGGTGGTTTAGGGCTTATTATCCTTGATATGCTAAAATTCCCTATCCCTTAGGATTAGTGGATACGTTGGGTTGGTGTGTGCAAAAATCGTGACTTTTTGATGACGTAATATTTATATGGATAGCCCCCAAGAAGATAAAAATTTTCCAAATGTTGAATAATGTGGACTTCATAATTTTACATCTGGAATAAGACCAGGGCCTGAGTTGGGACTGGCAGTTGGGTCGTCGGCATTACGAGAGAAATCCTTTATAAAGTAAAAATACGTAATTAAGCAATTTAAAAAGATATGTAAAGCAAAAAAATAACATGTTTTTAACAACTTACTTGACATTCTTTCTTCCTCGACATGATCAATATATGTAAAGGAGCTTCCAACTAGATGGATTTAAATTAGAAAATCGACTTGTAACTTTTAATGGTACATATGTACACGTATTTAATGTTGAAATTAACTTACTATTTAATTAAGGTTACATATTCCGGAAATATTATTCCCAAACAGGCCAAGCGAAAAGGAAAGAAAGGAAGACAGAAACCAGATGATGAAAGGGTAACAAGGGTTCGAGCTTTCTCCGCCTCTACAGAAAACCACCACCACCGTAACTTTGTTTCCAATGCATACACAAATATTTTTCATGCATAGTTTAAAGGGTGTTGAATTTTTCTGGTAACCTTTTTCACGGGTGAAAGAAAATCCTTGCCTTTCAAAACTGTCCCCAGATAACATTTAGATTTATCGAGTTAAAATCGCAGAAAATTCTCCACGAAGTCTGCGCGAAATGTCCGCCGAATCGATGGGCAATCGATAGGGTATTGGTTGTTAAAAAGTTGGTTGTTAAAAAGTGTAAAAAACCAAAGACAAAAAATCGGTTGGGAAATTAATAAATTTAATTTTGCGTGGAAGGTGAAAGCCAATCACCTGGTGAAGAAAAGCGCAGGAGAAATCGGAAAATGAAGCTGTGAACTCCGCTTAATTGACAATCAGTTTTCCTCTGCATCTGAATATACTGATAAACATGTACTTGTAATTGGGAGATTTATTTATTATTTATGGACATTATGGATGTACAAATGGGAAAAAGTGTATTGTTTTCTAAGTCGTGTGAAGTATTCAATCTCGATTGTGATCGTCATCAGGACGGAAAATATTACAAATCAATGATTATTATTTCATTTCACCTATTTATAAGTTTATGCAATTTTATATCTTTTATGGGATAATTATTGATATCTCTGCATTAAAAAAAACTTCCAACAAGCGTGTCTGAAGGGCAGCCTGAGCTTCTTCGTTTGGTTGCTTACACCGAAAAAGGTTAATATCAACTTCTCTCACGGACTTGATAACCGGACACGTGTTATCTTCTGGCGGAATAAATGCGGCAAAAGAGGGGAAATCGAAGCTGTGAATGTGAAAGATCTCCAGCGCTGGGACACACGCTTTATAATCAATCCGTCCAAAGCTCCCTGATCCTGGAGGACTTTCAAATCCAAAGTTTTGAAACTTCGTACAGAAATAAATCCTTAACCTCTTCAAGGCCGGAAAGGCTGGGAATTTCCACTCGATATCTTTCGTGCCGAAGCCCAAGCGCAAATCAAGGTTTTCCAGAGTGAGACAATGTTTCTGCAACAATTTGTACGGAAGGGTTGGCAGCTCGTGGGCGCGGGATTTATTTCTAATAAGGAAAGACTTCAGCTCAAGTCTTTTCAGAGAGAATGGAATTTTCAGGAGACATTCGGTCATATTGGAGTCCAAAGATCCTCGCAAAACTAAGGAATTAAGCGATCTGAAAAGTAATAAAAAACTAATTCGTATTAATCTGCCGTAGTCTAAAGGGTGTTGATTTAATTCTTCGCGATGATGCCGATTTAGGCTGAAATCCGTAATTGTGAAAACCATAAATATGTATGTATGACAATCCCCTTACTAAAGTTCTAATCATGAGTATCATAACATTAACGGGAGGAATTAAAGTTTTTAAATATGTAGGAAAAATAGGGACCAATTAAATTTATACAACTTACAATGGGAACTTTTGAAGGAGTCCCAGTTTTGAAATTTCATATAAATCTTCACAATTAATGTTGGAATATTTAAAGGCTGGAAACGCTTCTGTAACAGCTTGGCAAATTCTTTTGATCGGTGGATTTGTGTGATTCCGATAACGGCCACTGTTGGTCACTAGTTTCTTTAGTTTTGGGAAAACGGTGCCACTAAAAGAGGGGAAATTTTGATCGTAATAGAAATGAAACTTTAATTCTTCCAGAGTTTGGGACGAGGTGAGGATAAATTTGTCACAGAAGTCCTTCTGCCACTGTTCTTCTATGTAAAGGCTGACAAAAATTGATTTGAGATTTCTGATAGAGGGAAAGTTTCCGATATTTGTGGGTGGTGAGGTTGATTTATGTGAGGCAAATTTATACGGGGTAGACGAAATCTTAAGGTGGGCATTGAATCTCAGTTTCTCCGCAATTCGTTCGTCCAATATCCATTTCTTTGGGAGTGCCGTGTGCTTATAATTTCCAGAATCGAGTGGGATCACGATAAGGGTCCTCTCCTTCAGGGTAGGAGTAGCCTCGTAATTTCACGACTTGCAGACTAGTCGACACTGTTTTATGGCAGCGATTCCAAGATATTTGCAGAGGTGTGGAATTACCTGTGAAATGTGAATAGGCTATGAACTTTAGAATTTTGCGCAGAATTTGCAGATTTGTTTTTTAATCTGGAAAATAAGGATTTTACATCTGGAATAAGAATAGGACCAGAGCCAGGATTGGTGATGGTGGTGGTTAGTTCGTCCTCGTTATCATCAGAGCAGGACTTCAAAAAATAACAATGCGAAATTTGCATTCAACAAAATTTTGTAAAAAAACATCTGGTTTAAAATTAAAAAATAACTTACTTGAGATTCTTTCTTCCTCGGCATGATCAAGAAAAAGCAGCCGTGAATTAAATAGATGAATTTAAATCAGGAAGCAAATTTTTAATGATATATTTCAATTAGAAATGGAGAGACTTTTTGTACCAATATTATTCCCAAACAGATAAGGAGCAAAAAAACGAATGACAGATGACCAACGAATGAATTTCAAAGGTTCGAATTTTTTCTGCCTCTAAAACCACCACCATGATTTCTTTGTGTCACTTGAAATACATTTTCCATGCAATGTTTACTTTTTCATGCAAGAGTTTCAAAATTGTATGTTTTAAAATAAATAAGTAATTAATCAGGCCTTATGCAAATAGCGAATAGGTAACTATTTAGTGGAAATTAGTATTATGCCTCTTTCGTACTAAATATTTGTTTTCATGAAATTTCTCCTGAATAGGATATTGACTTCCAACTTACATCAGATAGCAACTACCAGTTTTTTAATATAATACCAGAACCTTCATTTCAACTAACTTCCAATTTTGTTAGTCTTTTATCGAACACCAAAATTTTCTTCTTTATGGATTGATCTTTTTTAAATAAGAGACATTTTCTTACATAGAAAGCTTATGGCGCGTAGTACATAATTCATTCTTTTAAAGCATAGCCGGTTTATGGACAAGTACAAAATTTAAATAGATACAAAATGTAAAATAATCGGTGGGATGATGGAGCCGGGTTTCTCGTTTACAAACTGCATCATGAAAACTACAAATTAATTTTATTTTACTATGATCACTCAGCCTTCACTCAGCCTTAATCTGGCAAAGTGACGCGGCTTGGTTCATGCAAAATGTCTGAAATGTCAGTGGCGTACCCGCATCTACAAAATTCGAGGCAAATTTGACGCTCATAAAGGACGATTTCCATGAGCTATCGCCGGTAAAAAACATCTTATTTTATTTTCCGGTGTTTTAACTCAAAAACCTGTTCACCGGGATTGAACTATTCGATTTAGTCAGTTTTTTAAATTTCCATGACCCCCTACGTGTAGTGGCATGGGCGAAAGCACTACTTTTTTCGACAAAACTTGTCAACTTTCTCCCTCCATTGTGAAGCAACCAAAAGGCCCACTGAGGGCAAACTTCGCATGGACAGTCCCCAGGGCATGCTTAAGAGTCTTTCTGAAGTGCTAGGCCCCACCCGTAGTCCATGACCTGAAAATGACCAAAGGTCAACTTACAAAATTGACTCATCCATCACCATTATGGAAATAGCTCTCATTACATCAATCCTGGATAGATTTTCGTCATATTTGGTAAAAATTGATCTGAATGGATTGTACTTTTAGATTCGTCAAAAAAATTAATTTTTTTCAAGGTCAACAGATTTTGTGAAACAACGGAAAAGGTCATTAGCTCAAGTCTCACATAACCCAATAATTGGGGTATCGTTGGAAAGGACTTGGCGGGAGGATTCAAAATATATATGCTTTATGGTATCTGGGACCACCCCCTAATTTTCTAGGGACTGAAAAGTATTCTCGTAACCTGCTACGTGCTGGTACCCACAAGATAACCGAGAAATACCTGAGTAAATTTCGAATTATTTAAATGCCTATAAAGTATTTGGAAAACCCGATTGGTCGAATTTATTATCTCGAAAATGGAACATAGCCCAATAGCCGATACTACACTATCTTGTAATTAGAACAGTGTACAAACAGACACCCAATTTGCTACGTCCTTGAACCCACAAGATAACCGAGAAATACCCGGGTAAATTTAGAAATAAACGTATACAATAAAGTATTTGGAAATCCCGATTGGTCGAATTTTTTGTCTCGAAAATGGAACATAGCCCAAGTGCCGATCCTTCACTATTTTGTAGCCAGAACAGTGTACAAACAGACCCCCAATTTGCTACGTGCTGGTACCCACAAGATAACCGAGAAATACCCGGGTAAATTTCGAATAATTTAAATGCCTATAAAGTATTTGGAAAACCCGATTGGTCGAATTTTTTGTCTCGAACATGGAACATAGCCCAATAGCCGATACTACACTATCTTGTAATTTGAACAGTGTACAAAGAGACGCACAATTTGCTACGTCCTTGAACCCACAAGATAACCGAGAAATACCTGGGTAAATTTAGAAATAAACGCATACAATAAAGTGTGTGGGAAACCCGATTTTCTGGATTTTTTTTCTCGACAACGGAACATAGCACAAATGCCGTTCCTACACTATTTTGTAGTTATTCAAGTGTGAAACCAGACGCACGTGATGCGAAGTCCTTCTAGCAACATGATAACCGAGAATTACCCGAGTAAATTTCGAATTATTTAAATGCCTATAAAGTATTTGGAAAACCCGATTGGTCGAATTTTTTGTCTCGAAAATGGAACATAGCCCAAGTGCCGATCCTTCACTATTTTGTAGCCAGAACAGTGTACAAACAGACACCCAATTTGCTACGTTATGGTACCCACAAGATAACCGAGAAACACCCGGGTAAATTTCGAATTATTTAAATGCGTATAAAGTATTTGGAAAACCCGATTGGTCGATTTTTTTGTCTCGAACATGGAACATAGCCCAATAGCCGATACTACACTATCTTGTAATTTGAACAGTGTACAAAGAGACGCACAATTTGCTACGTCC